CCCTCTCTCCACAGGAGCTGCGCGAGTGGTTTGCCCGGCGCTGGAGGCGTGCTGCTGGAGCTGGAGGTTCTTCGGCTACTGAGGGTGCTGGTGCCGCGGGTCCCGGAGGTGCTGGAGCTGGAGCTGCTGAGGGCGTTGGTGCTGAGGCTACTGCTGTCGGTCCTGGAGGCGGTCCTGCTGGGGGTGCTACTGGTGCTGCTGGAGGTCCTGGAGCTGGAGGTGCTACTGGCGCTGGTGCTGCCGCTGGGGGTACTGGTGCTGTCCCTGCTGTGTCTGGAGTCGTCGCGCGGCCTAGACCGTACTTCGTTCCGCTCCTTCAGCAGGTTCTTGGTCTCCCGCCTTCTACTGGTCCTCCTCCTCCCTTAGAGTGTCCACAGCCTGTTCTGTCACAGTTACAGTTACAGCCGGCCTCCCCACTGCCCGCTCCTTCTCCCTACACTGGTCCTACTGGAGGTCTTGCTGAGCGTCGTGAGCCTGCGTCTCGCCCTGCGTCGCCTGTCCGTGCTGCTCGCACTAGTGGTCGTGGTTCGCGTCAGCGTCCTCCTCCTGTCCCTGGCACGCACCGGATGTCTCTGCGTCCGTCCACTGCTCCTCTGCGTGCCCCTTTGCCTTCTCCTCCTGAGTCCTCTCTTCCTGCTCTTCCTGACCCGGAGTCGGACTCTCTTCGTGCTGCCAGTCCTGCTGTCGCACGTCTCCTTGCTACTGTCGTCACTGACCCCTCTTTTGAGTCCACTGCTGCGTCTGCGCTTGTTGCTGAGCTCGTCGACTTTGCTGCTCGCTGTCGTCTAGACTACGCTGCCGGTCTTGTTGCTGAGTCTGCGTCTGTCTGTCCTCCGTCCGTCGGGGGTGAGTGTGCTCTTGGCACGGACGTCCTTGAGGACAGGCAGGAGGAGTTCAGGTGTCTGGCTGCTGCTTCACCTCATCTCGCGTCCGTACTACTTGCCCCTGAGGGAGACCCGGATGCACTAGACATCCCGACTCCGCGCTCTTACGCGGAGGCCGTAGAGGGTCCCTACTCCTCTCAGTGGCAGGCAGCTATGGATGCAGAGATGGCGTCCAGGAAGTCCACAGGCACCTACGTTGACGCGGTTCCCCCTCCTGGGGCGAACATCGTCAGTGGCATGTGGATCTTCAGGGTGAAGCGGCCGCCGGGCTCTCCACCTGTCTTCAAGGCGCGGTACGTCGCTCGTGGCTTCAGTCAGCGGCAGGGAGTTGACTACTTTCAGACCTTCTCTCCCACCCCGAAGATGACCACTCTTCGGGTGCTGCTGCACATAGCCGCTCAGCGCGACTACGAGCTCCACTCTCTTGACTTCAGTACTGCTTTCTTGCAGGGTAGCCTGCACGAGGAGATCTGGCTGCGCCGTCCACCTGGCTTCACTGGGACTTTTCCTCCTGGCACCCAGTGGAGCCTCCGACGGCCAGTCTACGGTCTCCGCCAGGCACCGCGTGAGTGGCACGACACACTGAGGACTACGCTTGCGGCTCTTGGGTTTGCTCCCTCTACTGCTGACCCGTCGTTGTTTCTGCGCACCGACACTTCTTTGCCGCCGTTCTACGTCCTCGTGTACGTCGACGACTTGGTCTTTGCCACAGCTGACACTGCTGGACTAGCCTACGTGAAGTCCGAGCTGCAGAAGAGACACACGTGCACAGACCTCGGTGAACTGCGCAGCTACCTTGGCTTGCAGATCACTCGGGACAGAGCACGCCGCACCATTACCTTGACTCAGTCACACATGGTGCAGCAGGTCCTTCAACGCTTCGGCTTCACGTACTCCTCGCCTCAGGCCACTCCTCTGTCTACTCGCCACTCGCTCTCAGCTCTGCCTTCGGATGAGTCCGTAGAGTCGAGTGGCCCGTACCCAGAGCTTGTTGGCTGCCTCATGTACCTGATGACCTGCACACGACCTGACCTTGCATACCCTCTTAGCATTCTTTCACGCTATGTTGCTCCTGGGAGACACCGACCAGAGCACATGGCTGCAGCGAAGAGGGTGTTGCGCTACTTGTGCAGTACGTCGGGCATGGGGCTAGTGCTTGGAGGGCGGAGTCCAGTGGTCCTCACTGGGCACGCGGACGCTTCTTGGGCAGACGACCAGGCTACACAGCGGTCGTCGCAGGGTTACACCTTCAGTCTTGGTTCCGGCTCTGTCTCGTGGCGGGCTACTCGCTCGTCCTCTGTTCTCAGCTCCAGTTGTGAGGCTGAGATCTACGCCGGGGCCATGGCTGCACAGGAGCTTCGTTGGCTCACCTACCTGCTGACTGACCTTGGAGAGCCGCCTCGTTCTCCTCCAGTGTTGTACGTAGACAACAAGGCCATGCTGGCCTTGTGTCGAGAGCAGCGCTTGGAGCACAGAACGAAGCACATTGCTCTCCGTTACTTTCTTGCTCGTGAGCTGCAGCAGCGTGGTCAGTTGCGACTTGCGTACGTGGCCTCTGAGGCCAACACTGCTGATGTGTTCACCAAGGCACTTGCGCCTTGTGACCATCAGCGCTTCTGCACCCAGCTGGGTCTTGTACCTGTCTTGCCTCACTTGCTCTCTTCTTGACCTTGCTTGTACTGTCACATATATATTCCTGCTCTTGCTTGTCTAGCTCTATATATATATGTGTACTCCTGCATGTGAACTGGCCCTGTTGCCCTGTCGTTGTGCTCGGACTGTGTGGTGACTTTGTGATCCACCCTGAGCTTGCTCTGCTTTGCTTGACTGGTCTTGTGACCCCTTGTTCTCCCCCACTTTGCCTATGGGGGTGTGTCAGAACATATATATAGCTTATGCTGTTGTGTAGGCTATAGTGGGGTATCCCATAGGGGGTACAACCCAATTAGGGTTTCCCATATGTACTCACTTCATTCATAGTTCATTCATTCTCGTTCTACTATTCTCACTTCTAAGCACCTTGTTTAATGTCCGTGCAAGAATGGATGACAGTCCAACACCATAGCACAACGGATTCACCATGTCGCGCAACCCGCAGGCCTGAACGCTGCATCGTCGCACTGTCTAAACATGGCTGTCGGTAACGCATCAACGCTTGTGCGTTGGGCCTGTGCTTCATACCACCCCTTCTAAGCACCTTGTTTAATGTCCGTGCAAGAATGGATGACAGTCCAACACCATAGCACAACGGATTCACCATTTCGCGCAACCCGCAGGCCTGAACGCTGCATCGTCGCACTGTGTAAACCTGGCTGTCGGTAACGCATCAACGCTTGTGCATTGGGCCTGTGCTTCATACCACCCCTTCTAAGCACCTTGTTTAATGTCCATGCAAGAATGGATGACAGTCCAACACCATACCACAACGGATTCACCATGTCGCGCAACCCGCAGGCCTGAACGCTGCATCGTCGCACTGTCTAAACATGGCTGTCGGTAACGCATCAACGCTTGTGCGTTGGGCATGTGCTTCATACCACTCCTTCTAAGCACCTTGTTTAATGTCCGTGCAAGAATGGATGACAGTCCAACACCATACCACAACGGATTCACCATGTCGCGCAACGCACAGGCCTGAACGCTGCATCGTCGCACTGTGTAAACCTGGCTGTCGATAACGCATCAACGCTATTGAGTTGGGCATGTGTTTCATACCACTCCTTCTAAGCACCTTGTTGAATGTCCGTGCAAGAATGGATGACAATCCAACACCATACCACAACTGATTCTCGTTTGTTACTATTGATCATCGTGTTAGAATGTCGTCCGCTAGCGATAAACCGTTGTGGCAAAGCCTAAAAGTGCGCAGTACATCTGTCACAAGTAATACGTCTGGACGGTCGTTGTGTGTGGAACGTGAGAATCACAGATTAACTTACCCCAACCCCAAACTAAACCATTTGCAACTAAGTGTTTGATGAATTCTATTGTTGTATGTTTGAATTTAAATTAGCTGCTATGTGCAACACTGTGCGTTCGCGACAACACTGTACTTTGCAGGGATTTGACTAATTTCGCACTTTTGGTTCCACAACCGTTGTACCCTTTGTAGTGATTGATGCGTTGGCAACCGTGATTGGCCGACGCATCTCAAACGATCCCCCCTGCAACACAATCACCAGCCAAGAGGTACTTCAGCCATTGAGCGGCTGAGATCTAGCGGTAGGTGGGTTTATGCTAGGGTGGCTACACGTACACCGGCCGATATAGCCTGATAGGGTTACAGTAATCTCTCTAGTCTCGCAACCCGCCCCTGCCACCCTCGTGCCCCACCCACCTGCTTCCGTCACTCTCTGGGCCAACACTTTGACGCTGCTCGCTGTTTGACACACGCCTTTCCACATCGGCCGTAGCTCTGTGCTTAGTGGCTACTATGTCAGTTTTAGTTGAAGCGGCGGTTTTTGGATACAGATAACAGTGATAGACCGTCGATAATCCCATCGTGGGATTCAGTTGCAGTACCCCTTCGAAACCGGGTCAACCCTTCCGCGCGATGTGCTAATTTGCTTTCCTACAACTACCATGATACGTGCAACACGTAACCAAGCAATGGAGGAGGAACAGGCCGGCCGCCGCGCGACAAGGAGGACGTCTAAACAGATCGATAGGGAGAGTGGTGGCGGCGCTAAAAAAACTAATGCGTCCGTCGTGCGTGGCATTGGGCCGAAAAAAGTGGCGGCAAAAAAGATCGAGCACGGTCAAGAGAAGTCCGGGAAGACAAGGGGCCTAAACCAACGCCACGCAAGCGTGTTTCTACAGTGAACAAAGATGCGGATGTCGCCTCTGCTGGAACCGAGCCCGGTCCGAGTAACGACGGCACCACTGGCGGCAACGAAGATCCGGGGCGAGGGAGCGCGAGTCTTGCAGTCCCGTCGGCGGAGATAGAGGGATCGGCGACAAGGGGGAAACCACGGAGGCGATCCCCGCGCCGAGCATGCCGCAACCAAGGAGTCCGAGGCGGCGGCATCGCAACACCATCTGACGCTGCTCCAGCCGACCGTGGCAGAAGTTTCTGCAGCCGTGCTGGATAAGGACAAGGTAGGGGAGCACGAGTCGATGGAGGATCCTAACCACAGCATCGCTGACGTCGGTGGCTCTCCTCCTTCTGGTGGACGGGGGAGGCGTAGGCAGAGGAAGAGCGATGGGGAGGACGATTATGACACCGCCGTGCCCGGGGACCTCACCACGCGGGCGAAGAGGCGGCAGACGACAGGCAGTGCTGACGACGCCAAAGGCGCGGAAGTTGGGACAACGCGAGGCGCCAAGGAAGCTAGTGGCAAGGCGGGCGGTCAAGCATTGCGCCAGAAGGGCCGACCCGCAGCAAGAAAAACATCCGGCGAAAGGAGAGGCAAGAAAGCAGCGACGGGGACGAGGCCGAAATGGGGCGATGAAGACCCTGGTGATGCGGAGGAGGAGGAGGAGGAGGAGGAGGAGGAGGAGGATGCGGAGGAAGAGGAGGATGAAGAGGATGCGGAGGAGGATGACGCGGATGTTGGGGAGGATGAAAAAGATGAGAATGATGGCGGGGAGGACAAAGAGGAGGAGGAGGAGGAGGAGGAGGAGGAGGAGGAGGACGAGGAGGAGAAGGAGGAGGAGGAGGAGGAGGAGGAGGAGGAGGAGGAGGAGGCAGAGGATGAGGAGGAGGAGGAGGAGGAGGAGGAGGAGGAGGAGGAGGAGGAGGAGCAGGGTGACGACGAGGAGGAGGATGAGGAGGAGGAGGAGGAGGAGGAGGAGGAGGCAGAGGAGGAGGAGGAGGAGGAGGAGGAGGAGGAGGAGGAGGAGGAGGAGGAGGAGGAGGAGGAGGAGGAGCAGGATGTGGCGCCAGTGAAGGGACGGGGCGGGCGTGGCAGACGGGTGAGTGGTACAGGGAAGGTGGGGGGCCGGACTCGCCATTCCCGAAAACGCGGGGCAGTTGACGCCGCGCGCGGCGAAGCAGCGGGCAAACCGAAGGCGCGTAAGGTGAAGGTCGAAAGTGAAGGGGGTGGTAAAAAGCAAGGGAGGCAGGGAGCAAAAGGGGATGGAGGAGGAAAGTGTGGCCGTGCCAAAGGGGTTCCAGTGGGTACCGGCAAGAAAGAACCTGCCGGTAAACGTCGCAGCGTCCGCCAAAGCACCCCGCGGAAAGGTGGCAACGAGAAGGCGCAGGCTGCCCCAAAACTGAAGGGACAGCAGAAAGGTGAGCATTGTGGCCAATACAACTGGCGTGGTTGTTGAACCATCTGCTCAACCGTGCCAAATAACACCATTGTTTCCACATTTTTTCTCCCCTGCAGGGAAGGAGAAGGTCGACGAATCTGCCAAGCAAGGTAAACCCTCTTGTCTCAAAACAGTACAACCCTAAACCGGATTTAGATTCAAACCTTTGATGTTATGCATGCATGTCTGGCCCTGTATTGAAACCGATCGACTCTAATTTCTTTATCCTACTCCCACTACATCTCAGCCCCTCGCGTTACAGGCATTGGGCCACCCGTAAGCGTGCAACGGATGCAGCTAACAAAGGCTGCCGGAAGAGCGAGTGTTACACCGCTATCCACAGGAGCACCAAGGTTCTACACGCCATACTCCGGCCCGAGCAAAGTCGCTGCGACGGCACCCGGCGCGCCAAGAGGAGAGGAATCCGAATCCCCTCCACCAGCCCCCGTCACGCACTCCCCACTCGCCTCACCCTCGTACCCATTTCGGCAACTCCACGCTTCTCCTGTCCGGGACAGGGCGGTCTCCCCCCTCGCCGGTCCTTCGCGCGGGCATCAGGCAGGCACTTATGCCAATCCCTTCCCTGGGCTCCCCTTTTCCCGCCAGCGTGATAGTGTGAGGGCACACGGGACTGCTGCAGAAGACGTTGATCCCCTTGGCCAGAGGGGGGATTCTTCACACCCTTTTCCTCCGCTCATGGGTGCCCTAGGTGAAAGTGCGGAGCACGAGCAGTTTGTTACACAGGAGGAGTTCCAGGCGCTGCGGTCTGAGATGTACGCCATGTTTGCACAGCTCGGCCTGCGTCGTGGAGTACTTGCCAGCTATGCCGGCGGGTCGGCTGCCCTGCCTATGGCTGGTACCCCGCAGCCGATGAGCGCCGTGGACAAGGCACGAGTGCTAGTGTTGCAGGAGACAACCCCATTCCCGGTATGTGGCGGGCCAAATGGGGCGGGTTGGGGTTGACGTGGCAACCAGGGCGGGGTTGGGGCTGACGTGGCGGTTTCGAAGAGAACACGGGAGCGGCGCGTGACGAGGCGACGCGTATCAGGTGGGTGTGTTAGAGATTAAGGACGGAGTCTATGAAGATTAGGGGCTGAAATATCTCAAAATCGTCAACTACAATTCTGGACAGAAAAGTCGTCGTCACAAGAAACGTCGTCGACGAAAGGTCCACTGTTAGAATTCTTTCAAACTCGAGTATGTTGTAGCCCTTGACCGTGGCTATCTTTCCCAATTTGACTAGTATCAGAATATGGAGTATAACTCGAGTTATGAACTTCGGCGCGCTAGGGGGTATGCTGCCATAGAAAACGTAACTCAATCACAATGATCTCACAAGTTCACACAAGAAAGTTAGAGTAGCAATAGAACCAGGTAGGAGGGGATGAGGAGGACGAGAGGGAAGGTCCCAAGAGAGTCCCCAACCAAGGAAACCCCATGCCATACAATTCCCTTCCCCATAGGCAACCCAACTTTGACCTTTGTCACTATCCCAACCTCCACAATCCACCTCAACCCAACTTGGCCACACTTGCCAACCTGGTTTGGTTTCTCCCAACCATTTGGCAGCAACTACAGTAGAAAAGACGAATTTCCCAACCCCCAAAAGTCTGTACCCCATATTGAGTCAACCCCACAACTTCCCATAGTCACCACAACCAAATATCAAAAGCATACGAACTCCAACGTTCGTAACTTTCTAGTTCGTGCTCCGATTGAAGCGATACTTGGTTCCTCGGAAAGCTCTTGAGCAGAGGAGTCACTTCAGATATCTGCTCAAGCCAAATAACATTCACACATACACTCAGAAAAACCAAACCGCACAAAACACAAATTCTTGCACACACTCACAACACGCATGCAACGCACGAACATATGATGGGAGGCAGACAGACGTGAATGCGAATGGTAGCATCACTCAACAAACTCCCCCTCTGGCTGCCAACCATCATCCCACATGCCATAGCTCAAGCATGCATCCTCAATGCACACTCATCCCAGCAAGCTTCATGCCCTTCCAATGCTCAGATTCAGCCAGGCGCTTGGTGAGAATGTCAGCCGCCTGCTGATGGGTCTTCACAATCTCCAGCCGCACCTCCTTGTCCAGGAGCCTCCTCACCCAATGCCACTTAGGCCTGATGTGCTTCGTCAGCCCATGAAGGCAAGCATTCTTAGCAAGCTTCACAGCCGACTCGTTGTCACAGAAAATCACAGTTGGATCCTTTTGGCACACTCCGATCTCCTCCAACAAACGCCTCAGCCACACCACCTCCTTTGCCCCATGATGCAGAGCCATGTACTCTGTCTCACACGAGGACTGCCCCACCTCGTTCTGCTTCTTGCTGCGCCAGCTCACAGCACCACCTCCAAACAGGCACACATAGCCTCCAATGCTGGTGCCATCCGCCTTCACAGAGTTGAAGCTAGCGTCGGTGTAGCAGGTCAGGAGCATCTCCCCCTTGCCCAAATCAGCTGCACCCCTCTGCAGCCTCTGTCGCACAGCACTGTACTCCAAGCCCACTAATGCCGTAGCGCTCACATAGCGGACCAACCTCTTGGCCGCTTCCAGCTGCTCATGACTGGGGCGTGAAACCACACTTGCAAGCCTGGATGTAGCAAAGGCAATGTCAGGCCGCGTGTGGTTAGCCGCATAATTGAGTGCCCCCACCATGGAATGAAACAGCTTCCTGTCACTCTCACCCACCACCTCCTCTTCAGCACAGGGCTCCACAGTGAACCCCGAAGGCAGTGGGGTGGCTGGCTTTCCTCCATCTTGCAGCCCATACTTCTCAGCCAGCCCCTCACAATACTTTCTCTGGTGCAACCTCAACACTCCCTTGTCAAGGTCCCTCTCCACATGCATGCCCAAATAGTACTTCACATCTCCCATCTTGGAGCACTTAAACTGCATCTCCAGCATCTCCTCCACATGCTCAATCATTGCAGACGACTCAGAGAAGAGCAGGATGTCATCCACATACACCAGGAGCATGAGAAACTGCTCCTTCTCCTGCAGCAGGAACAAGCTGTGATCACACTCACTCTTCTTGAAACCCCCAGCCAGCAGAGTCTCCTCTAACTTGTGGTACCATGCACGAGGAGCCTGCTTCAGGCCATAGATGGCCTTCTTCAGCCTGCACACCCTGCCGCTCCCATCATCCAAACCCTCAGGCTGTAACATGTACAGCTCCTCCAGAATGATCCCATTGAGGAAGGCGGTGGTGATGTCCATCTGCTTCACCCGCCATCCACGGTATGCTGCCATTGCCAATGACACCCGAAGTGTTGTGCCTTTCCCCACAGGAGCATAGAGCTCGTTGAAGTCCTTTCCCTTTGTCTGCTGAAACCCCTTAGCCACAAGCCTTGACTTGTAGCGGGTCAGCGCCCCATCAGGTCCGTACTTGTGCCTGAAAATCAGCTTGGAAGAAATGGCCTTCTTCCCAGGTGGCAGCTCACACAGCTCCCACGTCTCATTCTCTAGCAGAGAATCATACTCCTCCTTCACACTCTGCTTCCACTTTTCAGCATCGGGCCCGCTCAATGCCTCAGCTAGCGTCTTGGGCTCAGGGACGGCTGCCCAGTAGCAGTGTGCTATCTCATCCTCATCACACTGCTCAGCCACACTCCCAGCCCTTACCACCTTTGGCTTGCCACGGCTTGCATAGGTCAGCCTGTTAGGAGGGCGCACATCCCTCCTAGGACGGTCAGCCGTACGTCCGGCACCTTGTGGAGCACCTTGCTCCTCCTGCTGCTGCGGCTGCTGCTGCTGTTGCTGCTGCTGCTGCTCCTCCACCTCAGGTTCTCCCCCATCCTCTGTCACCCCAGAGATCTCATTCTCAGAGACAGAAACCTCCACTTGCCTTGAAGGCCGCTGCACCTCATCGGCCTCGACAATTAGCGGTGTCGTTGGAAGCTTCTGCTGCTGCTGCTGCTTCCACTCCTTGTAGTACAAGGACTCAAGGAACTTCACATCCCTTGACACAGTCAGCTGCTGGCTGGTCAAGTCCCAAATCAGCCAGCCCTTGTGATCCTTAGCAAGCCCCAAGTGCACACCCCATCTCCCAGAAGCTTCCAGTTTTCCCCTCTTCTCCTTAGGCACATGAAACACCACCATGCACCCAAAGGCTCTCAGCATGTTCACAGCTGGTGCAATCCCATACCACTTGGTGTAGGGGACCCACTGCTTGTTCCCCACAGTCGCCAGCACCCTGTTCTTCACAACAACGACCTGCCGCAGTGCTGTCACCCAAAACGGATCCGGCAGCCCTGCACGCCCAAGGAGAGTGCGAGCACCTTCCTGCAGGGTCCGGTTGAACCGCTCAGCCACGCCATTCTGCTGAGGGTTGTAAGGCACTGTGAGCTGATGCTGGATCCCCTTCCGCTTCAGCTCCTTCTCAAAATCAGCGCCGATGAAATCTCCTCCGTTGTCAGTGCGGATCACCTTCACCTTGTGTCCGCTTTCCCTTTGTGCTCTCGGCATCCACTCCTTAAGAACAGCCGCTGCCACCTCCCCCTTAGTCTTGAGAGGGTACACCCACACCGCACGCGTGTGGTCGTCCACAATCGTCAAGAAGTAGCGGCTGCCCGAGAGAGAAAGGGCCCTCGTGGGGCCCACCACATCCATGTGCACTAGTTCAAGTGGTGCCTTGGCTGGTCCTGTGCTGCTGCTGAAGGGAAACTTCGTGAATTTGGTCTCAAGGCAGGTAGGGCAGCTCCCAATCTCCTTTGCTCCCCCCTTCACCTCCAGCCCCTTCAAGCACCCATCCTTTACCAGCTTCTGCAGCATAGGAATGTTCACATGGCACAGCCTCTCATGCCACGTCTCCCAATCAGCCTCACCACTCCCAGATGAAGCCTTTGCCCATGCAGCTGTCGCATCCACACCAGCAAGCACCTCACCATGTGGCTGTTGTGGCTGCTGCACCTTCTTGACTGCATCCAGGGCCCCAGCAGTTGGTGCAGTCTCCTCTCCTCCCGCAGTTGCTTTAGCCGCTGCCGCTGCCTTTGCTGTTGCTGGTGGTTTCCCCTTCCAAGGGATGATGGGCAGCTGCCACAAGTCCTTGATGCAGCTGCTCTTCTCCTCCAAGTTCCACAGCAGCAACTTCCCAAGCTTTGCACGGCAGCTGGTTGGGCCGAAGGTAACTTCAGCCTTGCTCTTCTGCAGCCGGCGCACAGAAAGAAGGTTAGCGGACAAACCTTCAACCAACAGCACATTCCCAAGCCCCACAAGCTCTCCATTGGCTCCCATCACCTTGGCATTCCCAACACCAATCACAGGGA